TTTTTTTCATTTTTTTGTATTTCCTTTATTTAATTTCTTTCTCATTTTCATATTTAATCTTTTTTTTTTTTTCATTTCCTTTTTTTTATATATCATTCCTTTTTTTTTATATTTAATTTAATTACTTTTTTTTTCATTCTTTTGTATTTCCTTTATTTATCTAGTTTTGTTAAGGAATCATAATTAATCATACTTTATGTTATTTACCTTAAACACTAGACCTAACGCTTTTAGTTTGTTGTGAAATTATGAAACATAAAAAAACAAACTTGCGGTTTTACTTGAGAAATGAAACGAGACAAAACTAAAGTTAAGTTCAGGTATCTCTGCAACTAATGAATGGTAGAAGACTTTTTTGTTATAAGAGGAGTAAAGACGAAAAACCTGAAAAAAACGTCTTCTATATTATATGTAAAATTATGTTGAAAAGAGTTTTGAGTTGACCTCAAGCATTAATTAGTCAAATTTGCACTACTAATAGAAAAAGCATATTAAAAGTATCAATTTTTTGAGTTAGATTGCAAAGGGATTGCAAAGTATTATACCAATTGGCGTATCAGATGACGTTTAATACCATTAAATTGTTCCGATTGCTCACAAGCTTGATAACTCTGCAGACTGTAGTGCATGTTTCATATACGCATGTTAAACATATTTTCTATTTTGAAGTATGTTGAACCTGATATATGACGATATTACTACATTTTTTTATCAATACATTCTAATTTTTCCACTGCTTGTTCAAAAATATCTATAATTAAGTAATTCCACTCACACGTAGGTTGTGGCTAAGTTTAATTGTTATAAATTTTTTAAGTTTACTTTAAAAATTTATTTTTAGAAATTTTCTGTAAAAAGCATCTTTTTTGATACGTTTTAAGGTTAGTATTTTTGTATATATTTTATTTGTTAATATTTTTTTTATGTTGTACACTGAAAGAAAAACTTAAAGGTATAAAAAAAAAACTTTTTTCTTTGGAGCTCTTATTCCATACTTAACAAAAAAAATTATTAACACTGGTATAAAAATTGTATCAATGGTTTTTGCAAAGTAAAAACAAGTGGTGTGCCTTAATTTTTATCGTTCTTATCTTTTGTTAATATAAAGGTGTGGCTGACTTCCTGAAATGACTATTTTTAATATTTTTGTTATATTTCAGGTAATTTTTCCAGTTTCTGGTGGAGAGCCTTGTGAGAACTGCATACACTGCCTTACAGAGCTGGGAATTGGTCTGCGGTTAAACTCCCTTCTATGGTAGACATTATTTGCAATAAATTTGAATGGCAAAAACTCTTATACTCATAGTGAGCTGTTACTCTGTAAACAAGAATAACTTTTACGTTGTCTGCGAATTTGAAATTAATATTTATAACGAAGCTCTATCCATGACTTTATTACTATCACGTGCATGTATATGTATAAGTTCTTTTCTGCTTATCACTTAAATATCAGCTTACACGAATGTAACAACGCCCATGTTACGTTCTATACTAAAATTGTAATTGTGGCTTATAACAACGCAAGTATGGCTATTGTGTACAAACACATCTATATTATTCTAGTAAATTATTGTTAAGTGAAAAACTATCTTCTCAACAGTTAAATAACATTAATTGTCTACTTAGTTCATAAGCTTTCTTTTCGACGTATTATCATAAGAAATAAAAAGTATTGACAAGGAATACGTGAAGTACTCAGTGTGTCAGAACACATTTGTCTTCAACCTCTTGTATACCAAATACGTTTTAACATTATATACAAACCAACATACGTTAAACTTTTATTATAAGCCTATCATTGGCCAAATAATAAGACTTTAAGCCAAAACATTTTTTCCATTTTTACCGTTGCAAAACATTGATTCAAAAACAATTTGAGAATAATTTATAAATACTGTAAAAATAATTTAGAATTTAATGAAGAGAACTGACCTGCTCTGTATAAGTCAAAAAGATTTTTTAACTACGGAGAAAGAGCTGTGGATATTTTAAATAATCAAGAGTAAAAGAGTTCGTACAAATAATGTGAAAAATATTTGAAAGAAAGTTTTTCTTGTAAATAAATGTTTAATACCACTTATAAGTAGTTAAATAAATGTAAAAAATTGTTCTGTAAAATTTTATGGCTGCACACTTCCAGAAGGGGCTACAAGGACTCCCATCCTTCTTTCAGCATTGCTAAAATTACCTGAACCCGCTTGTATACATAAATGTGTTTTATTTTTAAATTATTAAATTAATGTATTAAAATTTTGTGAGCGAAAGGGAAAGTATAAATAATTTCTTGTTACGGTATTGGTTTTGATTACGGCTCTTATTTTAATGTTTTATACTTAACGTTAATTCAGAGTACGTTAAGAATTTGTACAAAAAAAAAAAAAAAACATCCAATACTTCTCTTCATTTATGACGATGATTGGTGCTGCAGTATAAACCTAATAAAAGTTTTTAATGGATTAGCAGTTTTGGCCCAACTAACCATTAAGGTTTTGATAGAATCTCCATACCCACTCACCTTTGTTGTTTTTCCTCTCATAAATTTCATTACACAATATACACTTGTTAAGTATCTCAGTGATACCGATTACGAGAGAAAGGACGCTACAAAGAACGTAGAGCAATACTTAACAGTTTCAATACGTTTATTCAACACGAGACTCTTACAACTGCTCGGTGGCGTGGTTGACGGTAATCTGACGGTGCTGCGCAAGAACACCTCGTAGTTAGGCTACTCGTACTGGCTACTCGTACAGACGCACGCAACGCCATTTACTCAATGATGTATATACTACGCAGTCGTATGTATTACAATCCTTTTTCCCATAACAGTCTGAATGTACGCCGTTACAAATCAAGTCTTTCCGGTGCCTTTTTGATGCGCGATGAGCGACGTAAGACCAACTGCCAATTTGAGCTCGCTGCAGGGTCTTTTTTAGAAAGCACAGGCAACGTTTCGCTCGCGACAGTCTTAGGTTCCGGTACGGGATTGACATCGAGTGCTTTAGCAGTATCATTTAACAGCTGATCGCTAAAGTCATCTACATAGATATAGAGACTATCTCTTAGACCTGGACGAATTTGATCCAAATGTAGCTTAACTTCTTTGTTGGATTCTGTCTGTAAAGAGTAAGTTACAGGGCCAAGTTTACGATTAACTACCGTTTGTTCCCACTTGTTTGTACTAAAGTTTTTAGTCATAACAGTATCTTTTTCGTTGAAGCTCTCCTTTCTATCCCCCCGAAAATAAAATTTTTGCTTTGCTTGGCTCTGTTCTACTTTTTCTCGTATTGACGGTTTAATTGCAACCAAGCGCGTTCTTATTTTCCTACCCAGTTGTAATTCAGCTGGGCTAACACCTGTTGTACAATGCGGGGTGGATCTAAAATAAATAAGATATTTAGCCAATGCATCTTGTCATGAATTCTTTCCTTGGATCAATAATTTAAATTTATTTTTAAAAATTTTAACTGAATTCTCCGCTGCTCCGTTCGACGGAGGATGATCCGGTGCTGTCTTCAAATGTTCGACATGATTTTGTTCTAAAAACAACTTAAAATTGTCTGAAGTGAACGAAGGCCCGTTATCAGACACAATTATTAATGGTTGGCCCCAAGTGGCAAAATAGTCTTTTTTAAGATTTGAATAGTGTTTGAGGTCGTAATATTAGACATTTCTCGGATGTCGATCCATTTAGAGAAAGCATTCGTAATCACTTAGTACATATGACCTTCGATTGGTCCGCAAAAGTCTATGTAAATCCACTCATTCGGAGCTTTTGGCCACTTGTAAACATGTAATTCAGAACGCCTAGGATTATTTGCATTACGAGCGCACAACATACAGGACTTCATCAAATTTTCGATGTCAGCGTCTATGTTAGGCCACCATATACAAGACCGAGCGAGAGCCTTCATTTTAACAATTCTCCCGTGGCTTGAGTGAAGTTCGTCAAGCATTGTTTTTCTTAGATTAAGAGGCACGACAACTAGGTGGCCCCATATGACACAGTCATCTTCGACATTTAATTCTAATTGTTTACATTTAAATGCATAAAATTTTTCATCAATTTCGGTTGGCCATCCCATTAGTAAAAAATTACGCACTTGGCTCAGAATTGGATCATTAGACGTCTCTGCGCGAATGATATGGACATCAACAGGTCTTACACTGGCAACGTAATTTAAATATGTATAATTATCGGTATTATCGCTTTTATTCTTTATTTCATCAACTATAACTCGCGAGAGACTGTCTGCTGGTCCATTGCTTGAACCCTTAATATAAGCAATATCAAAATCATACCCAGATAAAAACACTGCCCAACGTCGAACCCTTGACGCTGCCATTTGGGGAAGTCCTTTTTTTGAACCAAAGATAAAAGTCAAAGGCTTATGATCAGTTTCTAAAATAAATTTTCTCCCGTAAACAAATTGATGAAATTATTTGACCCCAAATACTAGTGCCAGAGCCTCACGATCCAGTTGGGAGTAATTTTTTTCCACACGTGACAAAACCTTAGACACGAACGCAATCGGTTTTTCGCTTCCGTCATTAAATACATGCGAAAGGACTGCTCCCAGTCCCCTCGGAGACGCATCACACGTAATTTTCACAGGCAGTTTGGGATTATAATGTGTTAGAAAATCAGGCGATGTGATCGCTCTTTTTACATCTAAGAAAGATTTTTCACGTTCGCCTGTCCAAACCCAATCAGTTTCCTTTCGCAAAAGTTCATACAATGGGGCTGCAATGTCAGCATAATTTTTAATAAATTTGGAGTAATGGCTAACCATACCTAAAAAAGATTTTAATTCAGGCACCTCCTCTGGCCTTTTCATTTTTGTAATCGCATCGGTTTTAACACTACGACACTGAGAGAAACCTAGCGCGTGATCCGTCCTTAAGGTGGCGCGGTTGAGCTGCCGCTTGTTTGGAACGCACGGGACACCAGACTAGCGCGTCAGCTGCACCACTAGACTGGCTTGAGCGTTGAGCTGTTAGGCTAGCGCAAGTACTGCATCATACAGTGTACCATACGTTAAGCATGAGAATAAAATCGTATCTGTATTTATTCGTCGATCAAAATGCGATAAGTTTAAACGCATTATGACTCAGAAAGCCACTTTGTTTCATTTTCCATTTTGAAAAACTTGTTCATTTTAATCAAAAATTTGAATTAAAATATTTTTTACAAATACTACCACTTTTATCATGAAAAAACAAATATTCCAGCATACGGTGACTAATAACAAAAATAAAATTTTTTCCTTATTATTGTAGCCAGTATACTGTTTAAACAAACTTCACTATATCTTAAATCCCCTGTCAACCCGGCAATACATACTAAACGATTTATGAATATAGTTAATATAGGTGAAAGTTGTTAATTTTTTTAAATTAAACTTATTTCCGTTATTTCATTTAAATAAAGGCAAGAGAAGAATATCACTTATATTATATTAATATAAATGTACTGTCTAATGAAAATAAGGTTATGTGAGTTAAAAAAAAGGTCATTTACTCGCTTTGTTGTAGTCATTGCGTGCGAAGCTCTGTAGCAAATCCAACTCGAAAGTACCTCAAAGGTTAAACCTCTTAAACTATCTCTCTGGTAAATTCGCTTGCCCTGACCGGCGATTATCTCTCCTTAGTGGATTTACCGCCTAGATTCAATCATTCGCTAGTGCACTCGGTAAAGTCTTTTGGTTTGTTATTTCCAATGAGTTTAGTTTACGTTAATCATGCGTTTGTTTAAATTATTGTGATTCTCGTGTGTGCGTGCTTATTCGTATGTTTCGTCATATTCATTCAGTTTGTAGTTATTAAAGAAAAAAGGGTTTTTTCTGGCTTCGTGTCCTTTTTCCCTTCAAATTCTTGAGTTATTATTTATAGCCTAATATCCAGTGTAGTGTTAAATATAATTACATGCATGCAATTGAATTCAGTGCTTCACAATAAAGTAACTTCCTTCTTTTATACGGCGGCGGAGCCACCTAAGGGCAAGGTCATCGGATTAAACAGCAGATGCGCGAGTTCTTTCTCAGTGTAGTTTTAATACCTTCTGCGTCTAACTCAAGCCTCAAGAATGTAATTTTGTCTTTAGAAATAGAACATTTATTATTCTTTAACGTTAAATTACATTCTTGCAATCTTTTCAATACTTCACGTAGGCTTTTATCATGTTCAGTTTTGGTTGGACCAGAGATAAAAATGTCATCAAAATAAGGTACTCCTCCTTTGATATCGTGTAGAAGAGTTTCAATTTCACGCTGGAATAAACCAGGAGCAGACGCAACTCCGTACATTAACCGGTTACAGGCGTAAAGACCCTTATGTGTTGACAAAACAAGCAGCTGTTTGGATTCATTATCGACTAACACTTGTTGATATGCTTGATTCCTATCAAGTTTCCTAAAAATCTTTCCCCCAGCCAGCTTAGTGCTCAAGTCACTTAATCGAGGTATGGGGTGTCGATCAATTTCCAAACACGGGTTAACGGTTACTTTAAAGTCACCACACAAGCGAATCTCGCCGTTAGCCTTAAGCACCGGGACCAATGGCGTTGCCCACTGTCTCGATTTAACTGGCTCTAGAATTTCTGCTTTTCCAGTCGATTAATTTCCTGCTCAATTTTGTCGCGCAAGGCATACGGTACAGGCTCGGCTTTTTGAACACTGGTATTGTTCCTTCTTTAAGTTGCAAGCTAAATTTACGCTTATTATAACAACCGAGTGTATCAGAAAAGACATCTTTAAACTCATCAAAAATCGCGTTTTGAACCACCACCTGTTTAATCGAGCAAATGGTCAATAAATTATTTTTGCTATCTAGCTTCAACATTCCCAACTCGAGCATCTAATTACGACCAATTATCGGCGCACTGTTTCCCGGCAAAACAAAAAGTTCTTAATTAATCGATTTGTTCTTAAAACTAACATTTACATTAATGATACCCTTTGGAATTATTTTATCTCCCGGGTACGCTCTAAGAACTCTCGCAGTTGGCTTGGTTCGCAAAACTCTCAATTCCTTCGAAGCCACATAATTTTCGTAAGAAACCGCCGATAACGAAGAACCCGTATCAATCTTAAACGACATTTGGGTGTTTTGAACAGTCAACATAACCTCCAGCGGCTTCTCCGGTTTCAGAGCATGCACCGACTTAATATTACATAACCTTTTGAAATCTTCGGACAAATTATCAACTTCTTCTACAAAATTTTGTCGCGCCCCTTTTTTAGCCTGATCATTCTCACTACGACTGCTCCCTTGCTTACATGCCTTTCTCAAATTACCCGCTTCTCCGCACTGATTGCACGTATAATTTCTAAATCGACAGTCACACGTTTTATGTCCTTCTTTACCGCAACAGCAGCACTTTACCTTTTCGCTTAGCTTCTTGGACTTGTTTTCCGTCTTCGTTGAGACAAAGTTGAGGCTATTCTCCTTTCCTGCATTCATCCCGGCTGCGTCTCGTTTCGCAGCTTCCCAGGAAAACGCCAACTCCAGTGCACGTTGATAGGTTAGATCTCGCTCTCCCAATAAGCGTTTTTTAATGTTCTCTTCTGCAAGCCCCCAGACAAATTGATCCCTCAGGCTATTTTCGCGGTTAGCCTTGAACTCACAATACGTTGATAGTCTTTTTAGGTCTGCCTCAAACCCTTTAATATCCTGATTCTCCTGCTGTTGGCATTCCCTAAGCCTGTAACGTTCAACGATAACACAAGGTACAGGCTGCAGGTGTTCTCTCATGAACCTAACGAGGGTCTCCAGTGGTATCAATGATGGAATGGTTGGCGATCACAAGTTTCTCAATAAGCCGTACCCCTCCCGTCCAAGCATCGTAATGAACAGTGGCACCCTTTTGCCTAGAGGCACTTCATTAACCTCGATGTACTGCTCGAAACGCTCATGCCATTGAATCCCATCATGTTGAGCAGTAAACTACTCACTGATACTACCGAACGCTCCTTTCTTAATGGTAGTAGCATTAGCAACGGTCGGGTCCGTGCCTGCCAAACTTGCTAACTGTTGGTCCGCTTCTAGTTGTTTCTGTCTGTCCGACAGCCTTTGTTCCCTCTCTTAGATGTCGTTCTTTTGTTGGACTAGTAACTGATTCTGCTCCACGACCCAGTGTGCATATTCTTCCCACTCAGCTTTGGTCAAGGTGTTTAAGGCCTTCCCCTTGAACATCTTGTCCACGTGGCTTTTCTCTTAAGTAACGGAACACGAAGTAACAACGATCCGGATTAACTTCGCACGCTACTTCTGCTACTACTGTCCGTGTTTATCCTCGTTGCCAATGTTAAGTATCTCAGTGATACCGATTACGAGGGAAAGGACGCTACAAACAACGTAGAGCAATACTTAACAGTTTCAATACGTTTATTCAACACGAGACTCTTACAACTGCTCGGTGGCGTGGTTGACGGTAATCTGACGGTGCTGCGCAAGAACACCTCGTAGTTAGGCTACTCGTACTGGCTACTCGTACAGACGCACGCAACGCCATTTACTCAATGATGTATATACTACGCAGTCGTATGTATTACAATCCTTTTTCCCATAACAGTCTGGATGTACGCCGTTACAAATCAAGTCTTTCCGGTGCCTTTTTGATGCGCGATGAGCGATGTAAGACCAACTGCCAATTTGAGCTCGCTGCAGGGTCTTTTTTAGAAAGCACAGGCAACGTTTCGCTCGCGACAGTCTTAGGTTCCGGTACGGGATTGACATCGAGTGCTTTAGCAGTATCATTTAACAGCTGATCGCTAAAGTCATCTACATAGATATAGAGACTACCTCTTAGACCTGGACGAATTTGATCCAAATGTAACTTAACTTCTTTGTTGGATTCTGTCTGTAAAGAGTAAGTTACATAATTTTTATTATTTCACAAGACATTACTCAAATACTCCACGTAATTAACGTAACTGTAGATTACGAATCCATCATTTCTGATTACACACGGACGAATAAAAAAACAGCTAATGATTTATGTAGCTGAGAAAATCGGCTTCGTGCAGAAAAAGAAACATCATTAGGAAATTATAAAATTTTAAGGAACTTATTGCTGCCAAACAAAAACGTGACTGAGAGTCATTGAGGTTGGTGGCAAAAACTGAGCGTTTATTAACCAAAATCAACATTTTTTTTATATGACAACGCTCGTCATTTTGATTCGAACACATTTTTTTTACTTCACTACACATACAGGACAGATAAACTTTCACATATGTTACTTTAAAAATATAAGCTTGATCTATCTGGAACATCCTCCCCCTGTACAAACATTAGGTTTGTACCATGTATTAAAACTGAGTAATGTGGTAGGGGTATAAGTAGTTTCATAGAGTCGAACAATTTAAACTTAAAATTATGATAAATTACAAATAGTTTACAATGAACAAGTAGGTTCTTTTAAATCGTAGAAAAAAAACTGACTTTTAAATATAAAGTCTTACATTATACAATTAAAATATGCCAAAACAACCACCTCACAGCTAACCATCCGCAACAAGCCTCTACAATTGTTACCCCTTGCCCCTAGAATGAACAGGGGATGTGCTCCCGATAACTCTCAGAGTTTTTGTAACACTACAGCTCACACAAACGACGCCTTTCAATCGTGAGTGTTGAAACGACTGTCTTGGCAAACACTTTTCAATTTTTTACATAAAATCAAAGTTTTTAATTTTTAATTTGAATGTCAACAGCCATTAATTATTTCAAACAACAATTCGTCGTAAATCCAAGATTTCCTGGTGAGCATCACTGTCAATCAAGCCACAGGTCAATCTCACTTTTGATCTCTCTGTCTAAGATCCAACCCCACTGAAACATTAGCAATCTTCTCTTGAAATAACCACTCGAATTTAGATAATTCTAGAAGATAGTGATACTAGAAGTTTTGGAATATTTTGACTATGATTCATCAAAGCTACAAAAAAAATAAGCATATTATTTTGTCAACACTAAATTTGTCACAATCGTATCACATGAATACTACAAAAACATGCATTTCAAACTCATGTTCATTCAAAATGTTTTATCTAACATTTTAAACAATCTCCACCTTACGACAAATGTTTGCTCTAACTATACTGAATTAACAACAATAAATAATCAAATAACAGGTAAACTTCAAGTTTTAGAAAATATCGATAACTGCTTTGCTAAACCTACAAGAGAAGACTTTACTCGCATGAGGTCATCTAATACGGCTTCCCACCAAGGAAATCTCAACCTCCCTTACAATACGCTTTGTCTCGCCAGCACTCTCAGACCTTCACTGCTCAAGAAGCGCATCTTTACCGTCACGATCTGGATCGATCCCAAAATAGATGTACGGGTCCTTCACTGCTCAGGGTGCGCTCCCCTGCCATTGTAAACCCGTTATCCTATTTCACGTGACCAATGACTATCCTAGCCTCTACCACCATGCGTTTGCCAACCATGTTCAATCACCAGTCAGTGGCACGGCTGACGAGACTATCATACTTAAAGAAAATCTGATTCATGCTCATAGACAGTCAGTTTAAATTATAATATCCGTTTGAATTAAATGTATTAAAGCCTATTAGGAGTTTTAAAAACAAAGTGCTGATCGTAGTACCGTATTTTTGCTTTGAGACGCAACAGTCAGTATCCACATTGGGTGATAAAAAAAATTTATTTAGTAAATTTATGAATTATTAAACAAGTTTTTAATTTTTCTATCGATTTGCAACAAGAGTCAGTGTGAATGAGGTGCAGCCACTGTGAAATACGCTCATACATTTTTCAAATTCATTTGATAGAACAATTAGTAGAACTCGTGTGAGATCATAGAAAACATTTTCAGCAAACTGTCTGCATTACCCACATCGCCCCAGGATTACACACAAATAATTTTTAAGTATATCGTAGAAACACTCAGCGAGTAAGTGACACCATTTGTTATTATGAATGGGTCTTAAATTATTGTGATGAAAATTATAAAGATAACATTCATTAGTAGTCTTCATTGTTTTCAAGTGCCTTTGAGTAGACTATCCATAGTGGTCTGACTAGTATTGCAAAGGGCGTTTTCTCCTATTTTTCCGAGATACCCAAAAATCAACCATACGTAGTTACTCTATCACCGTTGGATGTATATTGACTCGATAGTATGTCTGCACAAGAGAAATTTTTTTTAAATTGCACAACAAATAAGTAGCTTACAGTTATATAATCGATTTTTCACAAGTAACCATTAAATATTGTTAATAATATGTGAAAAGTTTTAAATAAGCTTGCGTAGCTAATCGAAAAAGTTTCGCGAAATTCCAAGCGAATCCTTTTATTGAATGAACGACAGTAGTCCAGACATGTATGTGTGTCTACAAGAAAAACTTTTTTAGGAAAATCTAAATCAGTATTATATTACCAAGAGGTTACAGATGAGTAAATAATTAGTCTAAAGTAGCGCTGAAGTGGCTGTGTTGGAGGAAGAAGTGTCTTCTCGGTTGACTCGTTGAATATAATGGACTATGCATAGACAAACGATTACCGAAAGGTATCGATGGCTATTGCGCTCCACAGATCAGTGGGGATAATCATCGTTGTAACGTATTACAGTTTTACGGTTGTTTCTGGCGTGGTTGTCTACAATGTTTTAGAATAATCATAGAATTTCCTCTAACAACTGGAGATACGATTGATGAAAGTTACGAAAGAGCTTGTGCAATCAGTAAAAAAATAGTAGCGTGCAACCATCAGCTGATCAAAAAGTGGAAATGTTTTTTTGATGATGAAATGCATGAAATAAGGGACACTTGATTTAAAAAAATTAAGGTTATTGGAGATAAGAATCTCTAAACCCACATGATGCATTTTTCGAAAGATGTAGTGGAAAAACAGTTAAAAAGTACAAATGCCAGGGAACAGAAAAAATTAGGTACATAAAAGTTTGTTCGTTGGACCCGTATCCATGCAAACGTGGTAACTGCTTAGTTAGTCACCCATTGACATATGATGGTCAAATAAAGTGCCGAAACATTATTGTAAGCACAAGAATTACATATTCTTTTTAAATGGTTTAGTTATTGGTGATGTGCTACCACCGCGAAATTTATACCATCCTGTCTTACCAGTAAAAATGCATAATACATTAATTCTTACATTGTGTCGTAACTGTTGCAAAAATATGATTCAGGAAGATTGTCCACGTACAAAGGTGGGAATGACCGTATTTTGAAGGGCACATAGATATCTGATGAAGTCAAGATGACTGTTCAACTGTTTAAGTAGTTTATGTGGTAAGAAATATTCATAAAATATGTCAGTAAAGAATGACACAATCGAATTATGAAACAAAAGAAGGTGGTTTATTCGAAAAATACAGCCACGAGTTTTTTAATAAAAAAATTTAGGCCTCTGATTCTCCCATCAAGTGTCTTATAAATGAACACAAGGATACGTATATTGATAAAATATGGAAGGCTGAAGAATCAGACCTTCATAAGAGTAAAATAAATTTTAATGCTGCATTAGTTGTCTGTTGCTGAATCAGATCTCAATTTTTTATTGGATAAATTTGGCTAACACGAGACTTAAAAAAAAAAAACCAGTGGGCAGTCATGGAACTACTTTTACTTCAGTTCTTAAATAAATTAGTAGTTATCCAAATTATTTACTGTTTTTTTGGAAATAAGTAATCTTAAATTATGGCATTTATATAATTATATTTGTCGTGATAATACATTGGAAAACATGCAAATCTCTTTATCATGCATATTTTGAATAATGAATTATAAAGTTTATTACACAATAATACAGGTACTTCTAAGCCCGTTAAGGCCCAACTGGATACATGTTTTTTGGTGTTTTTCAATTGCTATAAAAATGGGTGAAATGATCAGCAAAAAAATTTAGATACGTTAATTTTAATCAAAAATTTTCTGAACTTTTA